TGCTACTATCAGTATCGTGTCTGCCGTTGTCGGCGTCGGCATGACATCGCGCCCGCCCGAGTCACTGACTCGCATTCAAGTGCCAGCGCGTCAGCGCGGCATGTGAGACGCGTTGGGAAGTGCCCAGCAGTCAGCGCCACCGCGGCCGCGCCCGTCGCGCCAAACTAGATGGCCGCTCTGCGCTGAAACCTGCGCGCGCCAGCGCGGCGCAGCGCCAAGCAGCCGTCGCAATCGCACCCGCATCGCTGTTGCAAAAAAGGGACGACGTGCACACGCGCGCGTCGTCGCGCGCGCATGCCGAATTCCTTCAACAACCGTTTGTTTCGTAAGGTGTCCAAACCAGAACCCCCCAGCTATTTTTAAGATACACATGGTCTCGCTGACAGAATGTTCAGAAGGAGCTTGCGCGCGCGTTGTTGCATATTAAATGGGGCTCGTGTTTTCTCTGCACACCCCCCCACGCAGGATCTCTCCCACCCCCTTTGTCCCTCATCAGCATCATCATCACGCATTTTCGCACTCACACACTCACTCCCCTCCTCCGCCTCGCTCAGCCACTTCACCGCTATCACTCACACAGTCACACACACCATCATGATCACCATCATCATCCCTCGACCACGCACCAGCTCACTCACTCACTCATCATCGTCATCCACTTACTCACCACCATCATCACTCACTCACTCACCACTTCGTCACCATGCACTTCCTAGCTTGATTATGGAGGAAGTGTCAAGCGGGAGCTTCGTCTGTGAATGAATTGTGAGGAAGGTTCAGGCGGGAGCCCCTTCTTTATGGGTCCCGCATTTTCTGCTGGTAATCCGAGCGGGTCGTCCTCAACCTTGTAATTGTTTTCGCTCTTGGGCTTCTGAGGCCTGAATATGGAGGAGGTATCGAGCTGCGGCCTCGTTTGTGAGTGAATCGTAAGGAAATCTCAGGCGGGAGCCCCCGCCCTATGGGTCCCACGTGTCGCAGTGGCAATCCGAACGGGTCATCCTCAACCCTGTAACTGTCCTCGCGGTTGGGTTCGTGGGGCTTCAATATGTAGGAGGTATCGAGCGGCAGCCCCGTTTGTGAGTGAATTGTAAGGAAGTCTCAGGCGGGAGCCTCTTCCCTATGGGTCCCGCGCTTCAAGTTGGTAATCCGCGCGGGCTGCCCTCAACCGTGTAATTGTAGTTTCTTTGGGGCTTGGGGCCCGATTATGGAGGAAGTATCAGGCGGCTGCTTCGTTTGTGAGTGAATTGCAAGGAAGTCTTAGGCGGGAGCCCCTCCCTATGGATCGCGTATTTCAAATTTGTAATCCGAGCGGGCCACTCTCAACCCTGTAATTATCCTGGCGGCTGGGCTCTTGGGGTTTGAACATGTAAGAGGTATCGAGCGGCAGCATCGCTTTTGACTGAATTGTGAGGAAGTCTCAGGCGGGAGCCCCTTCCCTATGGGTCCCGCGTGTCAAATTGGTAATCCAGGCGGGCTGGGCTGCCCTCAACGGTGAATGTGGCATCTCTTTGGGGCTCTTGAGGTCAAGCTATGGAGGAAGTATCAGGCGGCAGCCTCGTTTGCGAGTGCAGTGTGAGGAACTCTTACGCGGGAACCCCTCCCTATGGGTCCCGTATTTCAAGTTTGTAATCCGAGCGGGCCACCCTCAACCCTGTAACTGTCCTCGCGGTTGGGCTCCTGAGGCTTGATATGTAGGAGGTATCAAGCGGCAGCCTCGTTTGTAAGTGAATTGCGAGGAAGTCTCAGGCGGGAGCCCCCTCCCCAAGGGGCCCGCACTTCATGTTGGTAAGCCGAACGGGCCACCCTCAACCTTGTAACTGTCGTCATTTTGGGGCTCCTGAGGCCTGAATATGGAGGAAGTATCAGGCGGCAGCCTCGTTTGTGATTGAATTGTGAGGAAGTCTCAGGCGGGAGCCCCTTCCTCATGGACCCCGCACTTCAAGCTGGTAATCCGAGCGGGCCACCCTCAACCGTGCAAGTGTCGTCACCTTCGGGCGCTTTTGGCTTGAACATGTAGGAAGTACCCGGCGGGAGGGAGCCTCGTCTGTGAGTGAATTGCGAGGAAGTCTCAGGCGGGAACCCCTTTCCCGATGGGGCACGCGCTTCGTGTTGATAATCCGAGCGCGGTCGTGCGAATGTTGCAACCCTCGATGCAGGCAGTCTCGAGCTGGGACGTCGTCTGTGAGTGACTCGCGAGGAAGTCTCGAGCGGGGCCTTGCTTGGTGCTGCCTCCCGCCTGAACACCACGGCGCGCAGCTAGAGGCCCGCCGGGTTGTCCCAACGGTCTGGCCCGCGGGGTTGTCCCGAAGGCCTGCCCCCGCGCCCCAGCGGCCCGCGGGGTTGCCCCAAAAGAGTGGCCAGCGGGGCTGTCCCAAAGGCTTCGCGAACCTGCCGTCGGCGAGCGCGCGCGCGCTGGCCGAGGCGGCGACGGCGCCGAGGAAAATCGATGTGCTTGTTCCGGCTAGGGGGAAATGGGGGAACACGTTGAGAAGAAGCAGGGGGAGGATGAGGACGGGGAAGGGGCAGGGAGAGGGTGAGGCTGAGGAGGAGGTGGGGGAGGAAGAGGAGGAGGAGGGGAAGGGAGAGAAATAGAAGGAGGAGGAGGAGGAGGATAAACAGGAGGAGGAGGAGGAGGAGGAGGAGGAGGAGGAGGAGGAGGAGGAGAGGGCAGAGCAGAGGGCGAAAGGAGGGTGTCCGCCATGGCGAGGAGGGAAGGGCTAAGGGCAAGCCAAACAGGTGCTCGTGTTGTGTCCTTCCGTCGGAGCCATCGAGAAACCATGGGTGCTTCAACGTGTTCATAAAATGGTACCAAAGGGGCCTCGCTCCGCATGCCGAAATCATTCGAGCGCCCTTGCGCGCGTGCTGGGGGGTCACGACCCCTGTCAAATCATGACATACGGCCCACTCTCGCGCGTCGGCCGAGCGCGCGTGCCGAACTCTTCCCGAACTTGTTTATATCACCGACGCGAGGACGCCGTCATCGTCGCCGGAGTGATCAGCATCGGCGCAATCACTGGCCGTGCCGTCGTCGTTGTCAGCATCGCCACCAGCATCGCTACGATCATCATCGTGTTTGCTGTTGTCGACGTTGCCATGAAACCGCGCCCGCCCAAGTCGACGACTCGCACTGAAGTGCCCGCTGGGATGTGCCCAGCGGTCAGCGTCATCGCGGCCGCGTCGGTCGCGCCAGATTAGTTGGCCGCTGCGCGAGCGTGCGTGCGCGTGCTGGCACAGCCGCAGTGATGCACCAGCCAACAAGCACTCATCACACCATGGGTTTTGCAAACCAAGTTGCGGTCGGGTGGGTAGGATGATTGCGCGAGCAATGTAGTTGACAACCTCAGGTTGAGCATTTGTGAATTGCATCACATAGAGTATTTCTGCTTTGAAGGAATCGATCTCCACCGCCACCCCGAAGCCCAGATTATCCGCCCACCTGGAGATGTACAGTTCACATATGATCCAGCCCCACCGTCCGTCAATAAGTTGAACGCATACCATCCCAGCCGGGCCAGTATCGCCCCCCTCTCATCCCTTGCAAACAAAAAAAACATGTGCGCGCACCTGTCCTCATCTTCAAGGATCTTATGAACCAGGCGAAACGGACGAAGTGCAGGCGCGCGCGCGTCGTCGCGCGCGCACGCCGGCATGTTTCAAGATCTCAAGACCGTGTATCCCGAAAACAAATATCAACACTTGATTTTTCAGCACGGGTTTCAAAAGAAGTATGCGTGCGCTCTTTCGGATTTTCACCCCAAAAAAGCATGATGGTTCTACATGTTCATCCAAGGCGACCAAAAGGGCATGTCGCGCGCGCTTGCCGAATTCATTTAAACGCCCTTGCGCGCATGTTGGGGGGGGCACGATACCTGTCAAATAATACAGTGCCAGCCACTCGTGCGGGTCGGCCGCGCGCGCCTGTCGAGTTCATTCAAAACCTTTGTATCACCGAAGCGAAGGCGACGTCATCGCCGTCGGCGTGATCAGCATCGGCGCCGCCGGTGCCCTCGCCGTCGTCATTGTCATCATCGCCACCAGCATCGCTAGTATCAGCATCGCGTCTGAATTTGCCGACGTCGACGCGAAAACGCGCCCACTCGCGCCATCGACTCGCATTGAAATTCCCGCGCGCAAGTGCGGTTGGCGAGACTCGCTGGGAAGTTCCCGGCGGTCAGCGCCAACGCGGCCGCGTCGGTCACGCCAGACTAGCTGGCCGCTCTGCACGCGAGCCTGCGCGCGTTAGCGCGACCGCAGCGACGCACCAGCCAGTGCCAAGTAGCCATCGCAACCACCGCCGCCGCATAGGTGTTGCAAACCAAGTTGCGGGTGGGTGGGTGGGTCTGCGTTAGGCTGACACCGATTCGCCCCGTCACCTTTTCTGATAACAAATCATCATTCTGCAGCAGCCACCTGCAAACAACAAAAAATACATGACGATGTGCAGACGTGCGCCTCGGCGTGCGTGCGTGCCGAAATTTGTCAGCAAAAATGGTTCCGTGAAGATTTCAACATCGATTGTCCCAGAAACCGGTAAACAGGTACGGTTTTGCAGTACGCCTTGTCAAAACATGTCAGCGCGCGGGCTCTTGCGACGTCTGAACAAAACAAAAAAAAAAACATAGGTTTTCAGCATTCCCACCCAATGTTTCCAAACGGGCCTCGTGCGCGAGCGTATCGGAATCATTCGATCTGCGCGCGAGCCTGCGCGCGGTAGCGCGGCCGCAGCGATGAGCCAGCCAGCGCCAAGGAAACATCGCATTCGCCCCCGCATGGTCTTTTGCAAACAAGGTTGCGGTTGGGTGGGTGGGATGATTGCGCGAGCAATGGATTTGAACATCTCAAGATCGGCAGGGTGCATTGGCCCACATAGATTGCACAACGTTGACCGCTAGAAGCACTGCTTGGATCCACGCCGGTTGACAGACCTATACCCTGTATCCGTGTTTCTGTTTGCTTCCGTCTCGCTCCCCTTCCGGGCCGCCCCATGACCCACCGTGCAGGCGGCCCTGTGGCCACGCCCGTGCGACGCAGCCGACGAGACGCCTGCGAGCTGCGCTCGGCGGCCGCCCGGCCGCCCGTCCGGGTGCGGTCCCGACCGCCCCCGGCTCTGCGGCTCTGCAGGCCGTCCCTCCTCGGCTTGGCGGAGAGAACGTCACGGGTCACCTCAGGCACAGTTCGGTCGCAAATCATGGGAGCCGGTGTATGCCCTCGTACTGCCGGCTCTAGGGTGCATTCGCGTGGGCTAGCGTCTGGTGGACGATGAAGAAGCATGGATTTTAACGCCAACCAGCGTCAAGTAGTGTCGCTTCGCATCAGTGAACGCCGGTTGTCGTCGACCCGCAAGAACTAGCAAGATTGCATGGGAGGCTCCCATGAATTGCCACCGACGGCAGAGCGTTCTCACGCGGACCTCTCCTTTGGCAGTCTGTGGGTTGCTAGATATCCTGTACCTTGCCGCCACAGGTGGGGGCCATGAATACCCCAGAATCGCCCCATGAATGGGGCTCCAGCGGTCATGTCGCCGCGATCTGTCCACGGGATCATCTTGGCTTCATCTGAGCGGCCTCCCAAGTTTCAGCCCCAGGTCCAGAAACTATACCTTGACATTCCTTCCGCCTTGCCCAACCCCAAGTCCCTACCAAGTCGTTCGTTGCACCCATCACCATGTCTGCCCTGAATGTGACAACCCGCCGCGGTCCATGGCGGCCGACGGGAGTCCTGAGGGGGTGCACTGGATGCAATACGATTTGGAGTGTTCGTGACGCGCTTACGAATCGAATGAAGAGCTCGAGCTGGTGGGAGCGGTGCTTGTATAGCATTCAGTGCCGTCATACGTGATAGCACATGAATGGAATCCTCCTTACTCACCCGCAGGGTTACCATATCGTAATAGTATTGGATTTCCAGCACGGGGACCCGACATTTGGCAACCGTAGCCGCCGCCTCACAGCGCGCTCGCACGACGCCGGGAGGAGAGAGGAGGAGGGATAGGAGGGGGAGGAGAAAGAGGAGGAGGAGGAGGAGGAGGAGGAGGAGGCAGATGAGGACGAGGAGAAGGAGGAGGAGGAGGAGGAGGAGGAGGAGGAGGAGGAGGAGGAGGAGGAGGAGGAGGAGGAGGAGGAGAAGAAGGACGAGGACGGAGGAGGACGAGGAGGAGGAGGAGGAGGAGGAGGAGGAGGAGGAGGAGGGTTCCTGGCCGCCAGCCAGAAGTTGTGCAGGTCGCGCGCCTCCTTTGAGCACGACGCCGCCCTGCGTCGCCCTGTCGTTCGCGGGGACGGGCGCGCGCGTGCGGGCCAGGCCGCGGAGGCCGCGGGCTATGGGGGCCCACGAGGCCCACGAAGCCACGAGGCCACGGGCCAGCCAGAGCGGGGCAGGCCCAACGGCCAGACCGCCAGGCGCTCGCGCCCGCGCCCTGCGCCCGCCGCCCAGCCTCCAGGGACGAGGCCGCGCCGCGCCGCGGGTGCCCAGCAGGAGCTCCCGCGGGCTGCGCAGGAGCGGCTCGGCCCACGCCCTCTCTCCGCTGCCCGAGGGCGCGTGGGCTGCGAGGCTCGAGCACCCCGTGATCCCGCGCGGGGGCAGGCCCAGAGCCGAGTCCCCGCCTCCGGCACGCGGCCGAAGGGTCAGTTCACGGCCGGGTCGTCGCGGAGTGTGCTCGTCCGCTCCTCGATGGCTCCACCCAACCCGCCTTCCCTCCTCCAAGCCTCGGGCGGCCTTGTAATTTCTCTTTTTCCTGCTCATTCGCCGCCTCCTCCACTGTACCCAGCTCCCCTTTTATGATTGCGTACGGCACGACGGAATCCTTTTGCGGGTTCGGAGTTCGCCGTGACACCCGTCGGCGGAAAAAGCAGCGCATTGGGAAGGGATGGGTGGGAGGAGTAGGATGTCGGATCTGGCACGAGCGCGCCCAGCTCGAGCCAGCCCGCTCTCCCTCCGCCAGGCCTCGGGGGGATCGCAGTCCTCCTTCCTGCTGAGAACCCGTCCCTGCAGAGGCGCAGGTGTTCGAGGTTTTGCTCCACAGACCACCTGCAGGTGGCCCAGCCGCCCCGCGGGCTGCCGAGCCCCAATATGCCGCCGAAGCTGGCGCGGGCTGCATCGTCGCTCAAAGGCCGTCGAAGCAGACACCAAAGGGCCAAAAGGCAAGTCACCAGGAACGACGACGAATACCAGCAGAGGCAAGTGTGTCTGCGCTCGCTGCTTGAAGTAGCCTAAGACCAAGATACACCCGAAGAGTGGCGGGCATCCCCTGCCGACGGGCTCCGCAACCTGGCGGCGAGCGGGGGCTCCCTACGGACGTGGATAACGACGGCTTCCCAGAAACCACGGAGATCAGCCGTCGAGCCCCCAACGCTTCCGGAAGCCAGCGGCAACCTCCGAGAACCCTTCCAACAGCTTCCCCTCGTCCTATCTGATCCCCCCCTCTCCTATTTCATCTCCCTCCCTCTCCATTCTCCCTCATCCCTCCTCATCCTCGTTCCTTTGTGTAATCGTCCTCATCGTTAGTGTCCTCCCCATCCTTCGCCTAGTTTCTCTCTCTGTCTCTCGATCTCTCTCTGTCCTCCTCATTTGTCCATCCTTCCGTAGCCGTTCTTAGCTCAGGACAGCACCGCTGTTATTTGGCTGACCCCCACCCTGTTCTCGGTTCGCGAGAAGGGCACATGGCGAAGTCCAAGAACCACACCGGCCACAACCAGGTCTACAAGAACCACCGGAATGGCATCAAGAAGACCCGACGCCCACGGAAGATGTCCATGCAGGGCATGAATTGCAAGTTCGTGCGCAACCAAGCCTACGCCAAGCGCGGAATGAAATGCACGGCGGAGGAGAAGGAGGAGCGTCTGGCAGCACAGAAGGAGGCGCAGAAGAAGATCGAGGAGAAGAAGTCGGCCGCCAGGGATCAGCGCCTCAAGGAGCTCCAGGAGGAGAAGGAGGCTGCAATGCTCAAGGCCTCCAAGTCCAAGAAGTAAGCGGCGGGTGACTGAGACCTGGGCGGGTGCGAGGGGTTTATCTGGTCCTTGCACGACCTTTCGGTGGAGGCCAGGTGCGCGGTTCCTCCGTCCACTCTCCTTTCTCATTCCTCCTCCCTCCTCGTTCCTCCCCCCCCTGTCCCTCCTCCTCCTCCTCCTCCTCCTCCTCCTCCTCCTCCTTCTCGTCCTCCTCCTCCTCCTCCTCCTCCTCCTCCTGCTCCTCCTCCTCCTCCTCCTCCTCCCTCTTGGGCCCTTCACGTGGCCCTCGGGGGCCGCCCCTCTTGTGTCTGGGAGATGTCTTGCCGCCTCCCCCCCCCGCTGAGGGCCGTCTCGGGGGCCTCTCGGGGCAGTCCTGGTGGCCATCCGGGGCCCCCGTCTGGCAGTCCCGCCCCCCCCCATCTCTCTGCCGCGCGCGTGGGGGAGCGCGCGTGGGGGCGGGGGGAGGGCGGGGAGGGAGCAGGGAGAAGAAGGAGGCAAGGGGAAGGAGGAAGGCAGAAGGAGGGGAGGAGGGGTATTGAGGAAGGAGGGGGAGGAGGGCCAGAGTAAACCTAAGGTGCACGCACCAAAGACACTGCAACAAACCCTCACGTGGCAAGTGTCCCTACATGTCTTCCTTTTTCAGCGCAAGAAGCGTGCATCCCTCGAATCACCAGCTAGCGCTCCTACGCACAAGCCTGCCATTCAGGCGAGAGCTCCACTAAGTAACTGCCGTGCATCCTCCGAGCTAGAAACAAGGAATGCGAGAAGGTTTGACCATACAGTCCAACGATGTGTCCAGCGGTGTCCCCATTTTGAAGAAAGACCGTCCCCATGTGGTGTAACTGTTGTACAAGTCTGCGCTCATGGTCATGGACTTCGAGGAAGTCTTGCGGCAGCCGCAACTTGAAAATGACAGCCTTCCAGCACCGCAGCTGTTACATACATTGAAGCTTACGGTCTGTCGTGCTAACACAAGGTTCATGCGAGGCCTTCACTTAGAAAAGACACAGTCATGTATCATTGAAGCTGCTGCAAACTTATAAGACGACTGTGCGCGGCGCTAAACCGAGAGCCCAAGTTCGAAGAGGAGCCGCCCGCCATCCTGAAAGTTGCTTGAGCAGCTTGGCCAGAATGGGCGCGGCGCTGGGGCGATAGCCACATCTTGAAACTGTCCTGTGTTGCTCATCCTCGAGTCTGCTGCAAGCGGTTCAAAGGCGAATGCACGCGGCGCTGAGGCGAGAGCGCTCCATGGACGACGGTCACGCTCCATCCCTGAGGCTGCTGCAGACCGTTGAGAACGAGTGTGTGCGGCGCCGGTGCGGGAGCCACATTCTGAAACTCGGCCGCCCTGCAACCTTGAGATCGCCGCAGCATCAAACAAATGAAGGGGTTGTGCGCGGCGCTTATGCGAGAGCCTCATTTTGAAGAGGGTCCGCCCCCCATTTTTCCAAAGCTTGGCGCGGCGCTGAGGCGACTGGGCACGGCTATGTGGCGAGACCCCCATTTTGAAAACAACGTGTGCCCAATTGTTGGAACTGCTGCACATTTTGAATATGGATGTGCTCGGCGCTTCGGCGAGAGCCAAATTTGACCTCTCCTTCATCCGTGTCGCTGCTACAAGCTTCAAGCTTTAGGATCCTAGATGGTGAGGGTCTCGGGCGACGCCCACCCTACCGACACGCCTGGCGGTGCGACAGGGAGGAGACATCGAGAAGCATAAAGGATGAAGGAGGGAGGAGGAGGAGGGAGGAGGGGGGAGGGGGAACGAGGAGGGATCGGGAAGAATGAGGGAGGGGGAATGAGGAAGGATGCGGGGGGGAGAGTCACATGGAAGGAGGTGCAGGTAGTAGGGGAAACTCTTGGGAGCGCGAAGGGGACTGGGGAAGGAATTGGAGGAGGAGGAGGAGGAGGAGGAAGAGGAAGCGTAGGAGGAGCGGGGATGAGTCGGACATGTAGAAGGAGAGGCAGCAGCAGCAGCACGACAGGATCCCTTTTCCTCCTTCACCTCCTGGCCATCACCAGCATCATCCCTTTCAGCATCATCCTTAAACTCGTCACCAGCCACAAATTCCTCAGCATCAATTCTCCTCATCCCCCTCCTCCTCCTTCCCCCCCTCCCCATTTTCCCTCGATCCGTTTCTCTATCCTTCTTGCTCTCATTCTGCTTCTCTGGCTCTGTCCCGCTATCTCTCTTGTTTGTTCTCTCTCACCATCTCTATCTCTCTCTCTCTCTCTCTCTCTCTCCCTGTCTCTCTCTCTCTCTCTCTCTCTCTCTTTTCTCTCTCCGTCTCACTCTCTCTTTGTGTATACATTCTATACATATATATATATATATACACATAGATCGAAGACGCCTACAGCGACTCACCGCCGCCCCCCCCCCCGCTGTTTGGAAGCGCAGGTGTGGCCGAACGTTCTGGCCAGAGTTCGGCCAAGCTATCGGATCATATGTTCCCCCAGCCGTTGTGGAAACGTTTCGGGGAACACGTGGGGGAGAACGACGAGGTGGAGATATCTCGCAGGGTTTTTTTGGGGGGGCCTCTTGGGGGCCTCTTGGGGCCTCTCGGGCCGTCTTTGGCCCAGGCTGGGCCATCTTGTGTTCATATTTATCCGTCTTGGAGACAGCTTGTGACGGTGTTGGGCCCTCCGGGGCCCACCGTGCACGTTTGGGATGCATCTCGGAGGTAATCTTCAGCCACCGTGGCCGCCTCGGTGCGGGAAGACCGATGACCTAGGAGGTTCACGGGCCCTCACGGGGCGGCCTGGGGGCCACTGGGGGGCCGCCTGGAGCGAGAAGACCGACGAATTGGAAAGTGTACGGGCCCTTCTAGGTAGCCGGCGCGATCGGCCGAAGGCCCACTGGGACATGTTCAAAGGGACCGGCAAGTACCTAAAACCCAGCACGCCGTGTTTCCCTGCTGCAAGCCACATGCGGCGGCGGATCGAACACGCCCACGGCCGATCACCGCTGCCCCTTGCTTGTTAAGATATGCTTCTGCGGCCAAACGTTTGGGCAACGTTTGGCCAAGCTGTTGGATCATGCGTTCCCCCAGCCGTTCTGGAAGCTTTTGGGGGGAACGCGTGGGGGAGGAAGAGGAGGATAAGGAGAAGGAGGAAAAAGGAAAATGAGGAGAAGGATGAGGAGGGAGCTTTTTGGGTCATTCGTGTGGCCTCCTGGGAGCTTCCTTGGGGCCTCTTGGAGACCTCCTGGGAGCCTCCTTGGGCCTCTTGGAGGCCGTTGGGGGCTTCTCGGGGGCCTCTTTGGCCGTCTTTGGGCATTCCTGGCCTATCTTATGCCGTCGGAAGCCGTCTTGGGGGCCTCTCTGGGCCGACTTGGGGCCTCCTTGGGCCTCTTGGGGGCCTTTGGGGGCTTCTTGCAGGTGACTTTGGCCGTCTTACGGCGGTCCTGGCATGGCCCGCCTGACGCCGTCGAAAGTCGTCTTGGGAGCCACTCTGGACCGTCTTGAGGCCTTCTTGGGGCGCTTCAGAGCCGTCTTGGAGGCCATCATGAGCGGCTTGCAGGCCTTTTGGGCCGTCTTGGGGCCCTCTTGAGGCCGTCTTGGGAGCCTCTTGGGCTGGCGTGGGGCCATCTTGGACGCCTCTTGGGCGATCTTGAGGGCCTCTTGGGCCGTCTTGGGCCCCCAGAAGGCCTAGAAGAAACAGATGCCCAAATCCTTCACAACACCTGAAGGACAAAACAATGGGTTTGCCCTCTCCGGGCCATCACCAGGGTGAACCAAAGGTGCACCATCGATGCTGCAATACACCCTCCCGCCCCAAGACCCCACCCCTGATATGAATGGAAGCGCATCCCTTGACAGACCAGCACAGCACAGTTAGACCTGCCAGCTTGGCGAGGGCTACACTTTGAAAAGGAGTTGCCTTGCACCTTTCTGGTGCGCAACCAGGAACGCGAAACCGATGATCATACATTTCAGTGAGGTGTCCTGCGAGATCCCCCATCCGAGAATGGGCCGCACCACATGCCTGTAACTGTTACACAGGCGAAGTGGCCATGAGTTTCGAGGAAGTCTGAAGCGATAGTTCCATCTGAAGAAGCCGCTATGGACCCGTGCAGCGCTCGATGCGCTGAAGCTTCGGGTGTGCAAACTTGACGAAGTCCCAAGCGATAACTCAATATGTCAAATCCGCATTTGCCCATCCTTTCAAAAGTAGTGAAAAATTGTCTGCACGCGGCGCTGAGGCGATAGCCCCAGCTTGCAAACAACAAGTGCTCAATATTTGAGAACATTGCACCATGGTGACGCGAATGTTCGTGGCGTTCACGCAAGAGCCCCACATCTGTACAGCTAGCGCAAACAGTCAATCGGATGCGCGCGGCACTAAGGCGAGAAACACAATTTGGAAACGACCCCACTTCAACCGTGAAGCAATTGCAAGCCTTTGAAGCGAATACGTTCGGCGCTGAGGCGGAAGTCACACATAAAACTTTTGGGAGGAGTGTGTGCCCGCTAAGGCGAGAGACACATTTTGGCAACGACCTGACGTCCATACGCGAATTGCTGCTAACTTGAAGAAACATGTACTCGGCGCTATGGAACGAGCCACATTGTGAGAAAGTACCCCCTCTATACGTGAAGCTGTTGCAAACTGTTCAGACGAACGCTCATGGCGCTAAGGCAATAACCACAGTCTGAAAACGGCCCCGAGTCCATCCGCGGAAGCGCTGCAAAGTTTGAAGACGAATGTGTGCGGCGCTACGGCGAGAGGCACATTCTGAACACGCCCCTCTCCATCCGTGAAACCCTCACACAATGTTGCAACAAACGCGTGCGGTGCTGAGGCGAGGGGTACATGTTGTAAACGGGCAATCCTCCATCCGCGATGGTATCGTGAATATCAAGCTTCGGGGTCATAGGTATTGTGAGAAAGCTTTAGGCGACACGGCAGGCCCGCCCACATCACGTTTGGAGGTGCGACAGGGAGAAGTTCAACTATGCAGGAAAGAGGAGGAGGAGGTGGGAGGAGGAGGAGGATGAGGAGGAGGAGGAGACAAGATTTGCTTGTCCTCGAGCGTCCCACCCTCCACGGGGGGAGGTGGCGATGAGGAGGAGACAAGAATCGAGGTTCGAGGGCGGAGGTGGACGAGGAAAAGTGGGATGGAGGCAGGAGGAGGAGCCCTTGTGCCCAGCGCGCGCCCAGCCACGCGCTCCGAAGGCAGCCGCCTCTCGCCGCAGCTGCCGAGGAGGTAGAGCTGGTCGCGGGCCCTCAGCCGCACCCGCGGGACGCCATGGCACCCTGCCCCTGGGCACCCCTCTGGCTCGCCTCGCGAGAAACACGGACATACACATACACACACAGGCGCACAATGTCTGCTTCCCGGACGGTTTGCCCAACACAGCGATCACTAGCGGAAGCGCCAGTAATAATTACCACCAAGCGTTGTCGATGCAGGGGCGTTCTATGCCCAAGGCAGCAAAAGAGCGTGCACGACGGCACGCGCATGCGAGAGCTTGCAGGGACGGCCAGGGGACAGCGTGGATCCAGGCAGAGGTAACAGGGCAACAGGTATGGGCAGCGGCCAGGAGGCAGTGCGGCGGTGTGCCGACCAGAGTTTACACAGGGCAGGACAACAGATGGACAGACAGACAGACAGGCCGGCACACACACACACACATACACACACGAGTCTGGCGTCGCGGCCACGCGCGCGGCCGCTCGGCGTAGGGCCAGTCAAGGCACGCATACACACACACACACACACACACACACGCACACACAAACACACACACACAGAACAGCAATACTGCGGCCGATCCGTTGCCACGAGCTAGCGGCTGGGCGTCGCAGTGGAGCAGGAGGAGAGGGAGGAGGAAACAGCGGGGAGGGAGGCACCCGTGCGAGCAGAGAGCCGACTCAGGTGAGTTGGCCCCGAGGCGCATGCGAAGTGTATCACAGCTCCCCACCCTCCAGAGCAGCAGCCAGACGAGGGGGCGGGTGCACCAGCATGCCTTGCTGAACTCCGGGCGCGGCGCGGTTCGGCATTGCCACTGCCGCCGCCACCCCCTCGTCAAAGCCACAAACTCGGACGACGGCGACAGCGACGGTGGCGGTGGCCGCCACGTCCAAGCCTGGCGGCGTGCAAAGCCAGACTATCAGAAGTTCAATATCCCACCAGACGGGGGATCAACGGAACCAGCAGCATGGAGTGGAGACAGAAATCCATTGACAGCGCGCGCAAGATAAGATTTGATGAGTGCAGGGGACTTGGGACCAGAGGGTGAATTGCAGTATCCTTCGTGCGTCCTGGGCTTACTGTGGTCCTCCTCCTCCTCCCCCTCCTCCTCCTCCTCCACCTCCTCTTTATTCCAGGCGCCAGGATCCGTGCAAATGGTGTGCTGGCAAAGTGCGTACACAGCTCACGGCCCCGGGAGGGAAAAGAGGATGATGTCGACGAGGAGGAAGAGGAGGACGACGACGACGAGGATGAGGAGGGTGGAGGAGAGACATTCGATAACATAGATCAGCTACATGTAAGAAGTCAAAGGGCGCATTGTCCGTCGATCTGAAGTTCCGTCGGGTGCCCCGACGTTCCATTGAGGCCCATGGGGGCCATCGGGAAGCGAGGAATCTCAATGGGGCACCTGCTGGCAAGTCTATGTTTGGTCCCGTGTGCCCACTGTACGCAGCCTGGGCGATGGGGAGCATCGGAAGAAAGAGGAGGAGGAGGAGGCGGAGGCGGAGGAACGCGCATTGTTTGAATCATGGTTACGGTTGAGGGCCTTGCGATCCCCAGTCTGTGGGTGATGGGAGTGTGTGTGTATGGCATACGTCAGCATGTGCGGTGGAGCGGTGGCGCCCGAGTTGCCGCCCGAAGCGGTGCACTGATGGGTGTGCCCCAACTGTGCGGCATGCGCGGCGCAAGCACAAGTACACCCTTGCGGCAGAAGGCCCTAACCAGTTTCAAACATGGGGGCAGAAGAGGCGGAAAGAACGGGAGACAACGGGAGGCAAGGGGAAACAACGGGCGGCAACGGTCGGCATCGGGAGGTGACAAGAGACAACAGGAACCAACGGCAAGCAACGAAAGACAAGTGGAGACAACGGTCGACAGTGGGAAACAAAGGGAAACAGCGGGAGACAACGGGAGACAGCGGGCGACAAAGAGAGACAACGGGAGACGACGGGAGACAATCTGTGCCCGAACGATTCCAGATCCGTGTCCGCGCGTATTCGATGTCGTCGAACTTTATACCAATAGAGATACGGGTGTGTGCGAAGTAAACGACCATCCGCACGCGCGCGATGATATGTTGACCACATGCACAGGAGCGCGACGCCCGAATGTTCCCCCGAGAAGACCGCAGGGCTGCGATTGTCCGCGCTGTCAGCGGCACCGCGTGCATGTAAAAGTGCGAGGGGGTGGACGTATAGCTCGGCGGCTAAATCCTGCGCGGTCGTTTTTAACGCACGCCCCGGCATTTGATAATGCAGTTGCAGAGATCCCACGCGCCCACCCACGACATGTTCGGCAGATTTCATTCGGCCGTGGATACTGGCTTGGCGCACCTGAAGCGGCCGCGAGAGCTGCTTCCGACGGGAACTTCCCAGGGCGTCTCGAAGGCCGCGCTGGCGCGCGGGAGCTCCAGTACGCCAGCGCATCGCACCGGTCGGAGTCGGCGCCTGCAGACTCGGCGGGCCGCTGCTGCCAGGTCGCCTGGACGCGACGCCGCGCGGCGCGCGCGCCGACTTCATAGAAACCGTGCAGGAAGCGGTAGAGACCGCGTAGAAACCACGTAGAACATTCGTATATGTTACATAGAAACCGCTGCGCACCTAAAAGAATCTGAAATTACAAATCTTCTTTGATTGGATTCGACCGACTTCTATTCCAAAGATACGTGGCTTCTCTCTGGTTTATATCGGTTCCTACGCGGTTTCTACGACACTGCCGCGACAGCGACGCCATGGGGCGTTCCCGTGCTGGCTGGGGCGAGTGGCGGGGCCAACCCGCGTACTCAATTCGCAGTTTCTCGCGCGCTTTGCGAAATGTTTTTGCTCATTCAAGCTGCAATGCCAGTTCGCGGCGCCGAGCGAAGGGCCCGGGGCGCGCGTTGAAAAAGACCTCGCAGGATTGAGCCGCCGAGCTATACATCCACCCCTTTGCACTTCTCACATTCACGCGGCGTCGCTAACAGCGCGGAGAATCGTGGCCCTTGCCAAGTACGATAGTTTCTGACCGCGCTGCCCAAGGAAGATTGCGCCGTCCGGGATGCGATCGAAACGGAAAGCAGCGACGCGCCCCATGCGGCGGTAGCCGAATCTGCTGCTGCGCCAGGACAAGCGCGCGGCCCGCGCCACCCCCCTCCCCCAGCGCTGCAAGTTGAGCAACTAAGCGATGCGACGATGTCACCGATGAGGTCCATTGCCGTCGTCTCCTGTCGGTCTCGTCAGGTTTACATCAGGGGGGGCGGGGGGGGCGCTTGCGCTGCGCTTGTCTCTGCGGTTCCCAAGATACGGTCTAAACCATGGTGCCGCCCGCGCGGACTTCTCGGGGAAGCATTCGGGCGTCGCGCTCTGGTGCGCTTGGTCAACATATCATCGCGCGCGCGGGTGGTCGTTTATTTCGCACACGCACACACACACACACACACACACACACACCGGTGCCTTTCGTGGCCCTTTCGCTGCCCTTCGTGGCCCCGTTGCGGCCCCTCGAGGCCCCGTCGCTGCCCTTCGTAGCCCCGTTGCAGCCCTTCGTCGCCCCTTCGCTGCCCTTCGTGGCCCCGTTGCAGCCCCTCGTGGCCCCCTCGCTACCCTTCGTGGCCCCATGTATGCATGCCCTTCGTGGCCCCCGGTCGTTCGCGCCCGTCGTGGCCCCATATGCATGCCCTTCGTGGCCCCGCTGTCGCCTTTCGTGGCCCTCTCGCTGCCCTTCGTGGCCCCGTTGCTGCCCTCAGTGGCCCCGTCTTTGCCCTCCGCGGCCCAATATACGTAGTACGCCCTTAGTGACCCCCGCTCGTTCTCGCCCGTCGTGGCCCCATGTGCATGTCTTTCGTGGCCCCGTTGTCGCCCTTCGTGGCCCCCTCGCTGTCCTACGTGGCCCAGTTGCTGTCCTCAGTGACCCCGTCGTTGCCTCCAGCGTCCCCGCATTATCTTCCTTCCGTGGCCCCCGGTCGTTCGCGCTCTTCGTGGCCACATACCCATTCCCTTCGTGTCCCCGCTGTCGCCCTTCGTGACCTCGTTCGTTCCCTTCGTGGCCCTGCTGTCGTTCTCTCTCCCGCACTCGCTTTCGCTCGTCGCGCCGTCGCCGTCGTCGTCGTCGTCGTCGTGGTCGGTCCCCTGTCCGTCCCTCTTGGGGTCGGGTTGCCGCCGATCGCGCTGCCGCTGGCCAGGCCGACGGTCCGCGGCCGCCCCGCCGCTTGCCGAGGCCTGGCCTGCAGGGAAGAAAGGTATACCCCCAAAAAGGGGCACGATCAAATACGAACAGTGCGGGAATCGAGGGTGTGGGAAATACGCGTTGACGGACATTCGAGCAGATAACAGCGAACAGTCTTAAACTGATTATTGTTGTTATTGTTGTTGTTGTTGGTGTTGGTGTTGGTGTTGTCGTTGGTGGTGTTGGTGTTGGTGTTGGTGTTGTTGTTGTTGCTGATGAGGACGTGTTGCTAGTGCCCCGGGAGGAGTTGCGCGGGGGGTGGGGGGGCGCAACGCAACCGCTCAACGCTCGAGCGCGAGCGCGGTTGCGTGCGGAACCCCCCTCCTTCGCAACGCCCGCAGGTTGCACGCGTTGCGCCCCCCCCCTGCGCGTCCCGCCGAAGGCCCCAAAAGGCATCAATGGGCACCAGTGGTTGCGCGCGCATGCGCCCACCGCGCGCATTCTGGCACACCCCTCACACGTTTCGTGGCCACACAGGGAGTTCCACCGAAACTTCATTTCGGCACACCCCTCTCCAGGATCGTGGCCCTGGCTCCAGAGGGAGCTTCACCGAAGCTTCTCCTCGGGACACCCCTTCTCGAGGATCGTGGCCCCGGCCCCACAGGGAGCCCCACCTAAGGGTCATGTCGGCACACCCTTCTGGAGGATCGCTGCGCTGGCTCCACAGAGCGCTCCTCCGAAGCGTCATTTCGGCACGCCCTCTCTCAGGGATCGTGGCCTTGGCCCCACAGGGAGCTCCACCGAAGCTTGATTTCGGCACACCCCTCTCAAGGATCGTGGCCCAGGCCCCACAGGGAGCTCCACCGCAATATCATTTCGGCACACCCCTCTCAAAGATCGTGGCC